AAAATTATCTTATTAAATATTGATATTTAAATATAAAAATTGATTATATTAAAATATATAATGAGTTTTTAAATTTAGATATTAATATTTAATAGTATGAAATTTCAGTTTTCAAATATAAATTGATACCTTAATTATTTTTGGGAGTCAAAACTAAATTTTTTTTAATATCTATTACTCAATTTATTAAATATTTAATTTAAGACTTTATTTAAATAATATTTTCACCCAAATATATGACTTTATTTTTTTTAGGCTTTATTTAATTTAAAAAATTAAATGATCAAATAAGTCAAAAATTCCATTCAAATATTAATTCCTTTGCTATATAAGCATGATATGGCAATATTTTGCCATCCAAGCAACCAAGCATAAACGGCAGTCAAGCCATGCGAGCAAGTCCAAACGGCAGTTGAGTTGGCCTGAGAAGAAGGGCTTAATTGCTTTGATAGCAGAGTTCAAGGGTTTATATGCACCAATTAAAGTCAAGGGGCTTAATAGCGATTCTGGGGTTAGTTTAGGGGCCTAACCTATGGTTTTGTCAAAAAAAAAATTGAGTCTTCTTTTAAAATGAACATTTTGATTGATTGGACATGGGACGGGTACTTTCCCTCTTTGATTTGAGTATATTGAATTTTCTTGAACTTGTCAGGCCTGCGTGGCCTCAGAGCCAGATTTCTTTCCCTTTTTTTTCCATCTGAATCGTTTCCTTCTCTTTTTTTCCACTTCCCCATAATCCCCAGTTCCCCACCATTACCTGCAACTTTCACTTGTAGAAATACCCATCCATTTTCACGCCACCATCATCTATCAAATATAGTGGCGAAATTCACGGTTCACCAGGTGTCATCACTGCAATTCAACACCCATCCTAACCAATAGCCACCCTATCTTAGCCATAATTATACCCCAAAGTACCCAAATTCACCAACCCCTATTTCCCCTTTGGATTCTCAATCAAGCCTTTCTAATCCACTCCTCCACTACCACGACCAGAATGAAGGAAGAAGAGGAACTACCTGCTGTGACAACAAAGCCGATCTGCTGCCTCCCTATTGATTGTTGCAAATAGCGCGTCACTGCAATTTTTTCTCTAAAACTTCTTGGTTCATGTCTTTTCAACCTTGCTTCTGACTTGGTTCTTTTGGACCAAAACTCCAAACTCTAAATTAATTTTAACATTTAACAATATAACTGCCTCTTTAAGTTGCCGGTATATCTATCTGACATAAACGTTGCCGTGACTTCAGCATATCTCAGGTGTTCGTTAGCAAGTGCAGGAGTGGGTGCTCCTAGCACTGCCCTTAAATTTTAGAACAGACGAGGTAAAAGGGCCCTATGCGTGGGAATTTGTGTTTGATATTATATCCCGAGTAGTAGCGTAATGTGATTCAATCGTAATGCATTTAAAAGTATATTATGGTCAAAAATAAAAAGTAACACAAGATAAAGGGGCGGATTGGTATGATAATTGTTTGGGCTAACGGTTAGTAATGTCATCAAATTATGAATAATATGTGTTTAGTAAATATATTAATTTCAAGAAAATAATATCTATCAATCTTATTTTTTAAAAATTAAAAGAAAAATTATCTTAAAATTACGTCATTTCAATAAATTTTTATTGAAAAAAACTAAATTATCATATTTTTAAAGTATGCATTAAGGTAATTTTTATTTTTTTTCCTCATAATTTTTTGGAGGTAAGATGGATAAACACTAAGTCTTTATTTTAAAATCATTAC